AGGACACCTGAGTGTGGAATGTGGCCTGTGATTTCTCACATATGGGCTTAATCTATTTAGAAGTTTTCATGTTTTCTTCCCACACCCCTAGGAGAGATGCACTCCACTTCGGAGACTTCTAGCCTTTACAAAATCTCAGAGAAAACCAGAAAATGAATTAAAAGTCATTTCAATGCTTGAATGCCAAAGATAGGGGATGAATATCAGGGTTATTTTGATGAATGGCAGCTCATTTTTTTTTTTTTTTATCTGTGACAAGACCTATTTCTGAGCAAGATGCTCTAGAGCCACTTAAAAACAAAATATCCTATTTATTTATCCTTCTTTTTATTATGAATTGGGTGACGGTTTACAGAGCAAATCAGGTTTTTTTGTTTTTTTCCCTCCAATAGTTCATACACATTTTGCTTCATCTCACAGATTACAATCCCCACAATGAAGCATCAATTATTCCACTTCCATTCCATTCCTTCTTCTTTCCTAACTCTTCTGAACTTAGTCCTTGGACAAATGCTGCCCTTTTGATCTCAAATGGTTAATTATTCTAAGGTGTGTGTTGTAGCTGTTGTTAGGTACCGTTGAATCACATCCTCACAATTGTTGCATTTTTTTAGTTCATTGTTGTCGCCACTGTGCTAGTCCATCTCATTGGAGGGCTTCCTCTTTTTCCCTAACTCTCCACTTTACCAACCATGATGTCCTTCTCCAAGGACTGTTCTCTCCTGCAACATGTCTAAGGTACGAGAGAAGTCTCACCATCCTGGCTTCTAAGAAACATTCTGTCTGTATTTCTTCTAACACAGATTTGTTTATTCCTCTGGCAGTCCATGATATTTTCAATATTCTTTGCCAACCACATATCAAATGCATCAATTCTTCTAAGGGATTCCTTATTTATTGCTCAATTTTTACATGCATATAGGCAATTGAAAAGATCGTGGCTTGAATCAGGTGCACCTTAGTCTTCAAAGTGATATCTTGGTTCTTTAACACTTAAAAGAGGTCTTTTGCAGCAGATTTGCCTAGTGAAATATGTTCTTTTCATTTCTTGGCTGCTGCTTCAAAGAGTGTTGATTATGGATCAAAACAAAATAAACTCTTTGACAACTTCAATCTTTTCTCAGTTTACTGTGATATTGTTTATTGGCCCCAGTGTGGTGCTGAGGTTTAATGCACTAGATTTCCAGGTCAGTTTGAACTGCAAGGTTGGCAGTTCAAACCCACAAGCTGCTCCTCAGAAACCCTATACAGGCTCTCTATGGGTTGAAACCGACTTGGTGGCACTTAACACAACAACATTTATTGGTCCCATTGCAATAATTTTTTTTTCCTTTATATTGAGGTAAAATCCATGTGAAAGGTTGTAGCTGTTGATCTTCATAAGTAAGTATTTCAAGTCCTCTTTGCTTCCAGCAGCAAGGAGAGGCAGACCATTAGGAAGAAGGTGTTGTTGTTGTTGTTGTTAAGTGCCATCGAGTCGGGTCCGACCCATAGCAACCCTGTACAGGGTTTCCGAGGGTGTAAATCTTTACGGGAGTAGAAAGCCTCATCTTTCTCCCGCGGAGCAACTGGTAGTTTCAAACCGCTGACCTTAAGGTTCGCAGCCCGATTCGTAACCACTACGCTACCAGAGTGTACATACCTCCTATTATTATTGTTCCCTTATACACTTGTCTGTTGTTTGGCTGAAAATTGAGCCATAGGGTTGAGTACATTTGCTAATGAGTGATTAAGTTCACTTCCAGAAGAGTGACTAAGGGCCATAGTTTTGGGGTTCCACCAGCCTCTATCCAACCAGTAAGTCTGGTCTTTTTAATGATTTGCTATTTGGTGTTTTGTAGTTTTTGTTCTATATTTTTCTCCCACTCTACCCAGGACCTCCTAATATGATCCTGTTCAGAGCAGTTGGTAGTGATAGTCAGGCACCATCTAGTTCTTCTGGTCTCACAGTCACGGAGATGAATGGTCACATGGTCCATTAGTCCATTGGTCTTTGGTCCACATGTCTTTGATTTCCATCATTCTTCTTTTCTCTGGATGGGGAGAGACCTATAGTTGCACCTTAGCTGACCACTTCTGGAGTCAATTTTGAATGTTCTCTGAGGAATAGTTGGCCAACAGGGAAAGAAGACGGGAGCTGCTTCTGCCCCCTCAGTTCTCAATAGTCTTCATTCCCTACTCTCTCTAGAGAAACTCCAAGTCCTGAGCTGAGCTTGACCACAAAGGGCGGTCTCTACATGAAGAGATGGCTCTTGCTTGGAAGATGTAGTCACTATAGTATTTCTTAATGTTGAGATGAGCAGCACCTTTGGAGGTGCCCAGCCCACAGGGTTCTTAAAAGACTAAACTGAAGAAATGCATACAAAAGCATCCTGGCACAGAGGGCATTCAATCAGTGCATTGGGGGAACTCAGTAGAGGAGGAGACCCAGCTTCCACATTGAGTAATATATTGGATAGATTAAAAACAACACAAAGTGAAATCAACACTGGCATTTATTTAAAAACCTTGTGAGTACAGAACCGAAACAAGAGTTTAGAATTGGCCAGTGTACTCCACCCAAAGGAAACCCTGGTGGCATAGTAGTTAAAGCACTGAGCTGCGAACTGAAAGGTAAGCAGTACAAACCCACCAGCCGCTCCACAAGAGAAAGCTCGCATTGTCTGTTTCCATAAAGATTTACAGTCGTGTGGCAGCTCCACTCTGTTCTACAGGGTCACTGTGAGTCCAGCAACAGGGACTCCAGCCAAGAAGGCCTGGTAATACCAACCTGAAACTCACATGGCCATCCCATGTGAGTCAGAATAGAACTGTACTCCTTAGGGTTTCAATGGCTGGTTTTTTGGAAGTAGACTGTAATGCCTTTCTTCTGACAGGCCTCTGTGAGGGCTCAAACCTCCACCCATTCCATTTGTGTCACCCAAGGATTCCATACCAACCTTGTTGTACCAACCTTACCACATTAAAAATAACCCTGCCCCTCCTCACTGATCCCTGTTTTGTTGTTGTTAAGTGCTGTCAAGTCAGTTGTGGCTCACAGCGACCCTGTATAGGGTTTCTCAGGATAGCAGTCCCTCATCTAAGGGGCTTTACAAGCATAGCGGGTAGGTACCCTAAGCAAGTAACACAGTCACAAAACAAAGATGCTTCCTTCCCCCTGGGCGCTTCACAAGAACTACAGCTCCAAACCGTGTTGTTGGCAGCCCCTGCCTCACACTTGTGGATTTTCTCCAAGATTCTGAAGAGAGCTGCCTGGCTGCAGTGAACAGCAGTAACAAGGAACTGCTTTGTGGCTTGTTGAATGTTCTGTAACCAGAGCTCAACCACACTCAGCTCTCCGGTGACATTCAGGGACGCCCAGCTGGGGAGGGGCTTGCCTTCTCCTGGCACCGACTTATCCCAAAGCCCTGTTTACAGAATTTGGTTATGCAAAACATTGATCAAATGACAAGGTCTCAGGTGACGACAGTGAGTAAAAATTAATATCACAATGTCAGTGAATTTTGTGAGTCAGACAAAGATTTTAAAGGTTATAGATTTTCCTTTGGAACAATTAGGAGTCAGGCGTAGACACCGACATTCAGAAAAGGACTACTTATATAATATCCAGGGACCAGTGTAAATAAAAATACAGAAAGTCTTGTTCAAAATACAGGAAAATTTCCAGAAAAGGCACTAAAATATAAAGATTTTCCCCTTTCTTCCACAGTCTCTCTCTTGGCCTATCACTATGTTTTCAAATGTAATATCCTGCCCCCTCAGGCACAGGAATATGGCAGAGTAAGCACAGATCCTAACAGGCACCCCTAAGGGCACGCATGTATGTGGCCACCAACAGCCAGATGGATGTTGCATGCCCCTGCCAGGGATGGGAAAGTCTATCCCAGAATCTTCCTTTCCGCATATGAGCCCACCACCTAACCACTGTGGATAGAGAACCCCCAAGCATAGTACAACCGTGGTGCTTAGTCTAGATCCCTGCATCAAGGATGGGTAAGAAGCCCATCCTCACAGAGGTACCTGCTAAACACACCATGGTGCTCCCTGTATAGGGTCCCCAAGATGTGCACAGACCCCACTGCAGCCCTTCCTGTGTATGGCTCCTACCGGGGAGCAGTAAGAGGTCAGAGGTGCCCCAGTACAGAGCAGTGTGCAGCTGAGACTCCCTCCTGGGGAGGCAGCAGGATCCATGGGACCGTCCACTAACAGAACTTTAAACTCTAAGTGCGTGATCCAGTGACTCATTAAACTTCACTTACAAGGCACAAATTCTAAATGAAACGTAGTAAGAATTTCAAGATGGTGACTGCAGAGCATTAAGCCCCAATCGCCCCTCTGTGCCCTTTGTGACTACACAATTTTGGATTGTCTTCCCATCCCAGGAACCCTGGTAGAACAGCAGTTAAGTGCTGGACTGCTAACTCAAAGGCCGGTGTTTCAAGCTCACTCAGGACAGATGCATCAGTCTGCTTCCACCTTGGAAACTCTCTTGGGGCAGTTCTACTCTGTCCTAGAGAATCACTAGGACTCGGAATCACTCGATGATCCCAGACCAAGTAAATGTAAGATTTTGCTATATACACAGGTATTTCAAAAAGTTCATGGAAAAATTCCATTATTTTAAAATTAGATTCTTCTACATACCTTTGGAAGTCCCCTCATATGCTGTGTGTATGTGTGTACTTAAACTTATATACAAATACGCTACTGGTAAGAAAGGCTTCATGTGTTTCCCCTTCTCAACTTTATGTCAGTATGACTTAATTGGCAGAGTTAAGACTGAAGTTAACATATTTACTATTTTTGAACCCTTTGACCAGAAGGAAATATATCAAAATGTTAACAGTACTTCTCTCTGAGTTAAGGTCTGAAAGGTAATTCTTATCTCATTTTTCTGGACATTTCAGTGTTTTCTAAATGAATGTGGCTTCATGAGTTGTTTATAAAATTAGGAACAAGCAATAAATGTTTTGTAAAGTCATAAAATAAACACAGTTTACCTGTAGGGAGTGTATGCTCCTCCTTGGACTTTTCTGACATAACCAATGACATCTCTCTGTGAACTTTTCTTAATACCTCCTGGATCATATGACTTTCTAGATTTTCCAGAAGTTTCTGAAGCTAGAGTAAGCACAGGTTGAGAGTAGTTACTCTCCATTTTCAGATTACACTCAGGACTTCTAACTCAAATTCCTGCAGAAGGCCTGGGGTTGGGTCCTGCCTTTCAACTGCTTGCTCCTGGGGAACAAGGCGGGTTCCTTTCTTGGGCTCCCAATTGTTCTGATGTGTAGATTCACCTCTGTGAAGACTGGTCTCTTTCCTTCCAGGCCTACATCTTGACTGATGAAATCCAACATGTTTTACCAAGTCTGTTAAATTGTGAAGTACTCACTCTATCTGGGCTGACCTCATGTCCTCTGGCTCTCGAAATGTGGCCAGTTTTGTGGCTTTCATTACAAGAGACTGTGTGGTGCTTTAGATTTAGCACTGAACAGTTAACTGTAAGGTCATCAATTCAAACCCAGCAGCCATTCTTTGAAAACAGGATTTCTATGAGTAAGAACTGACTCCAATGCACTAAACAACAACAACAATTATAAGAGAAACACAAATGTCTAAAATTTGATTTAGATAACCAAGAAGGATTCCTTTGGTAGATTTAAAATTTCATAAATCACCAAGGGAAAACCCTGTCAATAATAACTGTGAGTTGTAATTTCACCCATTATGCTAGTTTCTTCCTCTTGGAAGACCCTAGGTACTGGAGAGGAACCATCTGCTAGAGCAGGGGTGGGGAACCTTTTTGCTGCCAAGGGCCATTTGGGATATTTCTACCATCATTTACAGACCATACAAAATTATCAACTTAAAATTTAGTCTGCTATATTTGGTCAAATATTTAATCAACTCACCCCTAACGTGAGGACTGGAATTGCTTCTCTTTGGTGAGGTTGTGATATTACCTGGTATTGATGTTGCTTCTCTCAACTGCTTTTGCAGATTTGCGTTGGTCAGTCTGGAGTGCAGTTGATTCTTTGCAATGGTCAGTTTTGAAAATAACTGCTCGCAGTAGTAGGTTTCTCTGACACAGATGCATATTTCAATGTATGTCTCCTCAAAGTGGGAAATTCATCAATGCTTATGTGACATTTATAGAATTCAAGCAATAGGAGGTTATTATACATAGCTTTCAGTTCATCATCGCTTTGCAACTGAATGATTTCATGTTGTAGGTTATCAGACACATCAGCTGGTTCCACTTTTCACATCCTTGAATCTTTCATTAAATGCCTCAATTAGTTTTGCACATTCACCAGCATATTCAAGTATCATAGAGGCTTTTGTCTTCCCAGAGTAGGGAAATGCCCTGTGTTATTCCTTTCTAGTTGCTATTTCCACAGCCTTAATTTAGCTTCAAATGATTTCATGTTTGAAAGCAGGTTGCTGAGAAGCTGGTTGGGGCCCTGCAACTTGACGTACAGCTCTGAGAGGTACTTGGTAATGTCCACCATGAAGGCTAGCTCACACAGCCACTTGCTGTCATGAGTTAGTTCCCTGACAGGTTTTCCCTTTATCTCCATTCGCTCACTTCATTCATCCCTTAGTTCATAAACTTCATGAGCAGGTTCTCACAACTCAGCTACCTCACTTCACAGTGAAAAAACAACAAGAGAACCATACTGAGAGTCAAGATCACTCAGTAACTTCTTACTGGCAGCTGTTAAGCCTTTTGACAAAATGTATATATGACATTGCTGTTGGCATCACATTGTTGAGCTGCAACTATTGTGCACCAAGATTTCTTGGTGTAGGATGGAGTGGCACGTAATTAAACCACTTGATCAAGACTGAGACGATTCAATTCTTTCTTGATAAATGCAATTAACCCTTTTTGCAAGTAAACTGTGGCTGGAGCTCCATCTGTAGTAAGGCCAGTTGACTTTTCAAATGTTAGCTCAAGTTTTTTCATTGATAAAAAAAAGTCTCTCAAACAAGTCCCCACCTCTTGTGGTGCCATGAATGGCTTCCAGTAATGGCAGTTCCTCTTACATGTCAAACTCTGCAGTTATCCCACAAACAGAATCAGCCACTTGGGCAGTATTTGTTGTATCTCTTGTCTCATCACAAGCCAGAGAGAAAAATTGGAAATCTCCTGCAGTATCCATCTATGTTTTTTCAGTATCTTGTGTTAAGTCAGTAATTCGATCTGAGAGTGTTCCCGGAGACAAACTAACACTCTGAAACAATCTACTTAGTCTGGTGCTAACAACCCCGCAGCAGCCACCATGCACTCTTTCACAAACTCTCCCTACATGAGTCCTCAGTTTCTTCTCAATTAACATGCTATATAATTTGTCTGAATAGCACTCTCTGTCACAAGGAGGCCTAGTGAAAATGCCTTGTTGTGTTTCCAAACTCTGCTGAAGAGCACTGATTTTATCCAGATGCATTTGGCCTCCCAATTCACTGAGTTTAGCGTGTTTTGAGCTATAATGACGCTCCAGATTGGCTTTTTTTCATTACTGCTAATGCAGAGTCACGAACTAATCACACAGATTTGTCTTTGACTTCAAACAGAAAAATTATTTCTTCATTTCTCTTGGAAAGATCGACACACTGCATCAACTTTTCTTTTCTTTGTAGTTGCCATTTGTAGGATGTCACACCACTTCAGTTTTAATAACTATCCGGTGTGTGTGTTGCCAGAAATGCGGTTATTTTGCTTTGATTGTTGTTCGAATTTTGAATCTTGAACATATCCATCATTCATATCATCAACTCTTGAGGTCTTTTCTGTGCACGGTAACTTCCTTAATCTTCATCTGAGATTCCATTTTTTGTGAGGATTGTGGATGGTGGACATGTGGTTAACAATTGTATTAGAGTCGTTGAAGTCGACAACATCGCCATCAACATCACAAGGAATCATCTCACCGCATCTCATGTCAACATCACCGAATCGCTGTAGATTCACCACAGTGTGTGAACACTTTCACATCGTGTATACTCTCAGCCTGCTGGCACTAACTGTCCTGAGTTGCCTCAATATAGGCAGATGGGCTGGAGGCAGCCAACGAGAAACATACATGTGTGTCCCATCATGTACTCATGTGTCCTCTTTATCCCGTAATGCACATTCCTTGCTTGTCCCTCAAAAGTTGTTACTATTATTATTCACTTAATACAAATTTTTGTTGCTATGAGAAAAAGCTCCTAGATTTACTGAATTTCAACTCCTGCCTGCAGTTGCCTTGGCAAGGCCAGACCAAATGATTTCAAGGGCTTTATATGGCCCGTGGGCCGGACATTCCCCACCCCTGGTCTAGAGGGTTCAGTAGGCTGGGGACTGGGAGAAATGGGGACAGATATAAGTTGTCCTTATTGGTCACTGGACATGCATCTCTACATGGAAAATTGAACAGCCAGAGTCTGTGCTTGCCTATTAGCACAAATGAAGCCACTTGGAGCTTATGTCTCAGAACCAAGGGGGGAAAGACGTGGGAAGCCAACTTCTCCACACTGATCATCTGTGGTTGTTAGGTGTTGTTGAGTCAGAACCAACTCATAGCAACCCTGTGCACAACAGAGTGAAATACTGCCCAGTCCTGCACCAACCTCACAATCATTGTTACATTTGAGCCCGTCGCTGCTGCTACTGTGCCAATCCACCTTGTTGGGGGTCTTCCTCATTTTCTCTGACCCTCCACTTTACCAAGCAAGATAGCCTTCTTCAGGGACTGGTCCCTCCTGATAATATGTCCGAAGTATGAGAGATGAAGTCTGGCCATCCTGGCTTCCAGGGAGCACTCTGGCTATACTTCTTTCAATACAGATTGGCTTGTTCTTTTGGCAGTCCATGGTACTTTTAATATTCTCCTCTAATACCATAGTTCAAATGCATCAATTCTTCTACAGTCTTCCTTATTCACTGTCCAACTTTCACATGCATATGAGGCTACTGAAAATACCATGGCTTGAGTCAGTTAGACCTTAGTCCTCAAACTAATCATCTAATGCATACCAAATGGGCTGGTGCATATATTTCATAGTCTTATTCTCAGCAAAAAAATATATATATATATATTCCAAGGAGTTGTATACAATTTTCATTTCTGTGGGCATATATGAATGTATGTTTGAGAGCGACTTGTATGTTTGATTTCATAGTTAAGGGACTTGTGGTTATGTATTCTATTACAGCTTTTCATATTGTGGTATAATTTTAATTTGAGGAAGACTAAAACATGAAACTCTAGACTTTCAGAACTGATACATTAACCCAATCAACTGCCTTCAATTGAATTCCAACTCAGGGAAATCTCAGGTGTGTCAGAGTAGAAATGTGTCCCATAGGGTTTTCAGTGATGATTTTTAAGGAGTAGATTGGCGATTTCACACCCCTCCCCTTTTTCTGATGTACCACTGGGGCGAACTTGAACCTCCAACCTTTCTGTTAGTGATCCAGTGTGTTTTTCTGTTTGCACCAAACAGGGACTCCATTAACCAAATCTATTGTCACCGAGTAGCCTCTAACTCATGTTGTTAAGTGCTGTCGAGTCAGTTCAGACTCAACCTGTATAGCGTTTCTGAGGAGTGGCTGGTGGGTTTGAACTGCTGACCTTGCAGAGCTAGCAGTCCAGTGCTTATCCTA